GGAGGATCGTCTCCTTAAGGAGCAACCACTCTTCTTGGACACCTGGGTCCCCTCCCCTCTGGGACCTCAGTGCTTCTCTGACTATTCTCTTTAGCTCATTGAAGTCCGCCCTCCTGAAATCTAGGGCTGCTGCCTTGCTGCAGGCCTTTGCCACCTTTTGCTGGGTGGTGAATTCCAGCAGGTGATGATCACTGTCACCCAGGTGGTCGAGCACCTGCAGCCCCCTCACCAGGTCGTCGCCGGTGGCCAGCACCAGGTCCAACAAGGCGTCTCCCCTGGTGGGGCTGTACACCTCCTGGGTTAGATGGAGGTCCTGCATTTGGGCTAGGAACCTACGTGAGCGGTCAGATCTGGCTGACTGCTCTTCCCAGCAGATGCCTGGAAAGTTCAGGTCGCCCATGGTGACCACGTCCTTTGACCTAACTACCTCCCATGAGCTGACGTAAGAATTCCTGGTCTAGCTCTTCCCTTTGGTTGGGTGGTCTGTAGTACACCCCCACCATTAAGTCTCTTTCCCCTCAACTGCCTTGTATTCTGACCCAGAGCACTTCTGTGTGCCCCTCCTCTGACTCCGTGCTACCTGATGAAGAAGTGTATTCCTCCTTAATGTAAAGTGCCACACCCCTGCCTTTCCTCCCTGTCCTGTCCCTCCTGTACAGCCTATAGCCCTTAATATTCACTGCCCAGTCATGCGTTGGGTCCCACCACGTTTCAGTGAGCCCCACTATGTCTGGGTTGGTGTCAGCTAGCAGGAGGGTGAGTTCTTCCTGCTTGTTTCCCATACTACGAGCATTTGTGTAGAGGCATTTGAGGCCTCCTGCAGATGTGTGCACTGGCCCTCTAATCACAGCATTGCCCTGGCCTGTTGCTTACCTGTGTATATGTTTTGCTCGTCATTCTAGGCTGGGCTGTACTTGTGAGTGCTGCTTGGTTTAGCGGTCCAAGGCTTCCTCTTCCCTCGTCTTCCCCTTCCCCCGACAAGCCTACTTTAAAGCCTGCCGGAGGAGATCTGCCAACCTAGAAGAGAACACGCTTACCCATCCCACCCGAGCTAAATTGGTTTAGCTTAGCGGCTGCTAGACAGAAGGATGGATAACTAGGGCTATTCTTCACTTGGCTCCAAAAGCTTAAATGAGGGTTGTTTCCATGGAGCAATCCATGAGCCTAAACTGATGGTAGATCAGTTACTTCTAGCAGCTAGGAAACATCTTCCTCCTGCTGTTCTGCTGTGTTCCCCTTATGGAAAGGTCTATTATAGGAATCTTGGAACAGTAAAGTAACAGTAACTGTTCATAGTCTCTCCCTGAGTCCCATTTGGTTCTTTTCTACATCTCTTACATCACATCTTCTGTCCCTTTTTGGGATTCCTTATCTAGTGACTTTAATTCCTTTCCAGCACCTTAGTTATTGAGATTTCTTTGAAATTTCTTAACTGAGGTGGAAATGGGTGGGTTGGCACAGTGTTAACTGACTTGGATAGACCTTTGCCTACTTGACTCCTGGTAGTTGGCATTAATGCTTTAGCATGAGGTACTGGATAGAATGGGAAGAGAAAATATGAAATATAATCTCAAGGGGTTAACTTTCTGTTCCCATCCCTCAAAGTTGTTTAGCCACTTACCAACTAAAACTAGATTTTGGTTTGATTTTTTGGACACAACATAGACTGTTTTATTAAACTTCATACTCTGGAAACCTGGCTACCGTTATCATTTAGCAGTCATATTACATAGCAATATAACCTTCTGGGAAAGTCAGATATAATCCATTGTATCGAATGCTCCCCTTACATATTCATTACTTTTTATTCTATATGGCTTGCATGGAATTGAAGAGTGTCTTTAAATGGTAGTTGGCAAACAATAAATTAAAACAAGTGAATCTAGATGAATTCGAAGTTCAAAAGAATAGGTACTCAATTTAAAATGAAAGTTTGAAACGCTAATGTTCTTAATTGGTTTCTGACTGAGAAATTGACTCAAGTTAATAGTAGTTTAAATGAGAATTAATATGGATATTTTGATTCTATTCAATAGAATTGTGAATCTTCTACATTTCCTATCCCAGAATCTCTTGATCCGTTTCTAGGTAAGGAGTCAGCATTTTGTGGAGGTGCTAGTTAGTTACGAGACGGATACTGTCATCAGAACAAAGCAGTCTACTTGGGTTTCAGTTTTGTGTTAGGAGGAGGTTTCTGTTTAGTCAGTGAAGTCTAGCATTGAAGTTAGATTCATTAACATGCACCTGCTCTTTTGCAGATTCAGAATCTGAAAAATCATTAAGTGGATTTGAAACAGGAACAGCATACTCATTAGAGGACAGCATGGATTCGAACAATACAATAACTTCCAATGTGTCTGAAGAAAAAGTTGGTGGAGAGTGTCTCTCTAATGGCATCAAAAAACACAGGTAGGATGTTGCTTCTGCTTTTTGAACTTACGTTGTAACTTGATTGTCATGTGAAGCAGAAATCCTTTCTCTTGCAAAAGATAACTGTAGACATTTTGAATTTTCTCTAAGGATGATGATAGTTGAAAAGCAGTTAGCTGTTCTGCACCTCTAGTGAAGAACCCTTTCTAAAGCTAACGAACCATTGTAAATCATTATCGATTGACAAGGAGACAATTTATATGGACATTTTAAAACAGACATGGCTTTAACTCCTTTAAATGTCTTGCTGAAATTGATGTGGGTCTTATTTCTTCGTGTATTTTTAATGATTTATACCTTCTGTTGTCTCTCTAGTTTCCAGTCATTTGATCTCTGCTGGTATTAAGAATGACTTTCAATATTGGTATCTTGGCATCAAAAACTTAAGTTTAAACAAAGCAGTGTTAAAATAAAACTCATGTATGTTGCATAGGTTTATCTTATGCTGTCAGATGAGCCATTTTTTTTGTTCATGCATTTGCCTGTGAAGGAGGACAATAGATCTGGAGTTAATGAGATGTAATAGACACTGCTATTCTCAACTTTCAGTGCAGGGGCAATTCAACATGCATATGTTACAGTTCAATCCCAACTTCAGCATACTTGGGGGGGAAAAAAAACACATTAATCTAACTGTCTCTTGAAGTAAAATCATTCTACGAATAGATTAGATAAGGGTTATCTATACCACTTTAAGGCAGAAATTTAAAAATAAGCATGCTTCAGTGAAAATGTAAGATAAACCTTAAGTATTTGATACCTAAATCAATAATTAAATGTGTGGTAATGTAGAAGACTTTGTTGTCAGGTTCAACCTCCTGAGCATCTGTTCTTCCACACTAAGTCAAGACTAAAAGAAATGAGGACAAAAATGGAGTGCGGTAGTTATGGGCTGGAGGGTAAGAGAAAGTTGCTGACTAAAGGCATCCCACTTGGTATCTCTTACTGACCTATTTAAAAATAAATAAATAAATAAAAAGCAGCATTATTGCTGCCCTCAGACAATATATTCAGTTAGCTGGAAAACCCAGAAAATGGGAAGCACTGAGTTGAAATGGATACTTAGGAAGGAATGCATAAATTTCATGTTTTGTTGCCTGGAAATTCTGGGCCATGAAAGGGAATTGATTTTCTGTAAAAGTGACTAATGCGAGTGTCATATGTAAATACAATTGAAAAACTTAATTAAAGGCCGTCAGTGTAGTTCTTGGGTCGTTACACTAAAGACAGTCTTCTGTAAGTAGAGGAAACTAACAATAACTTGGCCAGTTTCCATGAGCCTTGTTGTACAACTGTAGTGCCACAGTTGTAAACAAGAGGTGACTGGAGCCTCTAAGGTCCATATTTGCTCATGTACTCTACTATCTACATATGGATGCCTCTCACTAGACTTTTTGGGCAAGATTTCATTTCCATTCCTAATCTGTATATCTTGCACTGTGTTGTCTTAAATATTTAATGATCTCTCTAAACAGCCATGAACTAGAATAGATGCCTATGTTTAACTTCTAAAATTAGCTCCTGATTTATTACTTGGAAGAAGGTGGATGTTGAAGACTTAAGCATATATATGTAGATGGCTAGGACCTCTTCTGTGTTTTTACTGTAATGTTAAACTTTTACCTAGCATCTTAGTGACACATTGGGATTTAGTATCCACAAATATATTGATGCAAACTGTTATTTTCCCCAGAGTTATGCCAATTTATATGTTACTTCCAAGAGAGCTCCTCAGAGGATGAAGCTGTTCAGTGTTTCTAGTTCTCTTGCCATATTCTTTTTGGTTGATGCTAATGTGTTTGGTTTAGTTATGTTAATAGTTGATCAAAATTTAAACTGCAGCTCTATTTCCAAATTATGTAGATTACCTTGTAGGTGCACTTCTGAGAAACCGGGCTTATTTGCAGACTGCTTGGATGCTGTAGCTGATGAAATATCCTGTAGAGCACAACATCTATCCTTAAAGTGCAAAACTGTAAATGGCAATTAGTAAACCAATATAAGATTCAAAAGCTTTGAGGAAATACACAATGTTAGTGTTTTGCTTTAAATTTTTGCTAGTTTAGCACTTCTGTCATTTTTAGCCATTTTGAGACAAGTGTCTCAGTGGCCTATAAATCTCGTGATATTAGGATATCATTTGCTTTCCTCCTTTACTTTTTCTCTTGAGCTGATTATTTCTACATAGGACTTCTGAAGAATGTTACATAACCAGCTAGTTAATATCCTATTTACCAGAATATTCAACGATCTTTGCTGGTCCAAAGGATTTTATCTTTGTTTTAGATTTTGGAGCAATGGAAATCTGATGGGCCCAAAAAATGAAAAGTCATTTAATCTGTTCATACGAGGAATGTTTTTTTTTTTTGTAAGCCTGATTACATCTGGTAATTAAGCACTATCTACTGTTAAACTGTCAGTGAACACTTAGGCTAATGAAACTTGCATTATCATTGAGGTATACTATAAAAGTGGAAATACCAAGGATAATACTAACTGATTTTCTTATTTGGTGCCCACTAACCACTTTATTAATCTCCTTTTCATATCCAGGTGAAAGCTAGTGATACTAAAGTAGCTATGGGGAACATAACATGATGATGTGCTTGTTTGATCTGGAAGCAGATTTCATACATGGAGCCTTTTATTTTAGTAGGGATTTTTTTTTTAAAATACTAAATTGTGAACAGCATATGGCACAAAATAAGCAATCTAGAAATATTCAAACTATCTAATGCTTCAGCTAATGGAATACTGTCCAAGTGAAACTAAGCCAGTTTCTCTTTTTAAAAAACAAACAAACAAACAAACAAAAAACCCAAAACAAAACAGTTTTCTCTTTCCTTTCTCCTGAGCTTCCCTGCCAATTTTTTTAACTTAAACTTCCTTTCCCATCATTAAAAAGGTTTTCCCCCTTCTCCTGCTCTGTGGAGGATCTACCCAAAGGGAAATCAGGCTACGGGGAAAGAAAATTTTACAAGTGTCAATGCATAAAGCAAGCAAGCCCAAGATATTTTTCAGTTACAATAGTTGCAAGATGCATTAAACGTAGTGGTTATTAGAAACATGTTTTCGAACGCAAGTGGTTTTGAGGGGGGGGTTGTTTGTTTTTGTTTGTTTTTTAGCGATCCTGTGAATCCATGCCACTTACTTCTCTTTGTAGTAGAAACATACTTCTTTCTTTCTTTCTTTTTTTAAGGTTTATTGTAGATAAAGCTATTTTTGATCTGTGAATAACTTCTTAGAAGAAATCTGCCCATGGAGACTAAAGGAAAGCTGCTAATTTCCAACCCCTTCCCTTTATTTACAGGGTTGCTGTCAAGGTTGATGGGGCTGAAATGTGACTATTTTCTGTTTCTTTCTTATCGCCTGCCTACGAAGAACCTTTTAAGTCGCTCAGAACTGTCAAAAAGGAAAGGACAGACTTTCATTTTGGGTGTGGCTAATGAATGCAGGAAATTCAGTTTTAACCTGAAAGATGATAAAATAATTTTTATGTAATATAAAATTGGTAGTACCATATATATTATACCAGTAAATTATAGATTCTTGAACTCGCAAAAGGAAGAGGGTAATTTTCTTAATAAAGAGTAAATTTACAAACTTTACATAGCATTCTGTGCTAAAGTGCTCACTACCCAATCGTGTGTATGTCATTAAATTACCTCTCTGGCTATTGTTTAACGAAGTAAATAATAAAATGAATACAGAGGAGTATAAACTTGGTGGAAACTGCCTGTTCTAGACACATGCGTCAAAGCATCCTCAAAGGATGTTCTTAATCTTTCAGTGACCAGGTTCATCTCACTCGCATCATAAAACTGAAAATTAGAATAGCAGACCTATTTTTTTGTTTGTTTTAAATGGTATAACCATTTTTAATGATCAAGAAGCCTTTCATTAGGAAGAACCCTTAATTCCCCATCATTGTTCCATGTATCCAAGTGAATTTAGTTAATACTGGATATTTTTAGCGAATCATTACAAAACTAAAATTGCTTTCGAGAATTTTCATAGTACCATGGAAGGCACTATATTTGTTGGAGACTAAATATTACCTTTTAAATTATACCAAGTCAGACTTCTAAGGGATTTAGCCAGTTTTAAGGAACGCTTTGTTTTTGAAAAAATCAAAGAACCAGTCCAGGAAAATTGTCGTCTTATCACAGAAGTATCAATGAAAATTTAAGTAACACAATAAGTGAAGTTGCTGAAAATAGCAGCTTTGTCTTGGCACAGGGAAGTAAACTATCAAAGAACAAACGGCATACCATTTTAGCAGTCTTTGAAGATATTGAATTCCATAATCTGGGAGAAATGGAGAACCTCCTTGTTCAGGAGTGTGACACTTGAATCTTCAAGCATAGCGTTGAAGTTTCTCTTAAATCTCAGTTTTAATTAAGAGTAGGTGTGGTTTCGAGAGCCATAAATAGCTTTCCTTTTAGTTTTAATACTTGGGGAGAGACATAGACTTATGGTACACGACCCATGATTACATGGGGATTATTTGGACTAATGCATCCTTTTTAATAAAATGAAAGTGTGTGCTTTGCCTCTTTGTGGGTAAACTAAATTATGCTATTTGTCTGTTCTTCATTTAAAAACAGTGCCTTAGCCAACACGAAGACCTGGCTTAGGACCCTTTCACCAGGCACCAAACCATGTTGATTTTAAAATTTCATTTCAACCCTGCTTAAGCATATCTGTTGGCTTCTACGTAGACAAAGTCATATTTCTCTTGAACTAAGAATAACTCTGTGCGCTTCTATTTTCCTGTTGTCTTTCAGTGACCTTTTTTCTTTTCAGTCGAGATGAAAAATGTCTTGGTCTGGTGTTCATGTGCAATATAGAAACGGCTAAATATTTCAGTGCCATTAGCTAAAAATAATCTTAAACCTTCTCTAATCTAAATGGATATTTCTACAGCTTTTCATGAGTATATATTTTTCAAAGGAGGTAATATGCCATAATTCTGCTGGTAAAAGACTAAGTACCACCTTGAAAAAATGACTGACAAATTATCTTCCACATCATGCAAATAATATCAAGAACTGATTTGTATGCATGGTTTTTGTTTGCTTTTTTTCCCAAACATTTGTTGCTGTTAAGAGTTCAGTTCACAGATCCAAACAACTGATTTGGTGTATTTGATGTTTTTCAGCTTATCCTTAAGGAGTGTTGAATTTAATTCGCCTTGTTTTTAACGAAAAGTGCCAAAACGTTATCTCCACATGCAAAAACTGCCTCATCTGTTAGTCAGTTTGGAGTCATGGACTTAAAACAATATTAAAATGTTTGCAGCCATATTAGTAATAGACACTGTTTTTGGTGAACAGATAATGAAATAAAAGCTTGGCTTTTTTTTCCTAGAACAAGTTTGCCTTCTCCAATGTTTTCCAGGAACGACTTCAGTATTTGGAGTATCTTGAGGAAGTGTATTGGAATGGTAGGTAATGTGCAAGTAAGATGCAGTAAATACCATATTTATGTAATCTTATGTAAACTGAAGAGTTTGTTGACTTCCATGGTTCATAATCAGAAGGGCTAAGGCTGAGCTGAACAAGTAATTTGGGCATTTGAGTAAAGGTGTCTTCACAGCCCTCCAAGCTTCCTACAGAACCAAAGTGTAAAATAGCAAGATGGAGTCTTCCAGTTTCCCCACAATGCTTCATTTGAGTGTGTGCACAGAACACTGAGCAGTTCTGTGAGCTTTCTGTGCACCGAAGAGGCCTTACTGGATAAAAATTACCCCAAAATGCACAAAGGGCTGCTGACAGCAAGTCTAGCTCATTCTGCCTGCAGCTTAGTTTCCAGTGTGCATGGAGTGGACACTGGAAATGCCTCCATTGCACTCTGGAAGAATGGGTCGATTTGAAATTGGGTCGATATTTTCTGGAACTTGAGCAGTGTTCATATGTTGCTAACAAAGATCTTGGTGATATGCTGTTGTTGTTGTAGATAAGCAAATTCCTTTCTAGTTTGGTGTGTTCCAAGAGTAATAACAGCATATTGAAAAGAAAAGTGTAGTCCTGGTGAGATCACAAGTGGAGAATGGCACTGAAAGCCAACTGAAGGGCTGCAAAAATTGTGCTGGGAAATCGCTTGTAACAATGCTAAGGGTTCAGAGCAAAAGTTTTTCTTTTTAAATAAGGCCTTCAAAGCCACAGATTAAAATGAAGACTTGGAAGGTATTCTTGTTAAAAATGTTATATTCTCTGTTAGAGACCATCTGGTTAATCAATTCTAAAAGTAGGTAACTTTTTTCTAATCTGAAGGTTGTCTTTTGTAGAAGGGTGTTCTGAGCTCTTCATGTCTTTTCTGAAACACTCCTATGATTAGAAATTCATATTTATATCCATCTTTAAAAGACTTATTTCAATGCAAGAAGAGGCTTAAGCTCAGAAAAATGATACAATCCACATTGTATTTTTTTCATAATCCACAGGCCAAGTCAAGGGATGTTGCACTACCACTAATAGTGCCAATTTATCTTTACTAAGATAGTGAATTACAGCAACTCAGAATTTAACTGTGTCCAGTCTTTTTGGCTTTTAATGCATATTTCACTCTTGTATCAGGAGCTGTCAAAAATCACAATGCCAGTTATTTTCAATGAACCACTGAGCTTTCTACAGCGACTTACAGAATACATGGAACATACGTACCTCATCCACAAGGCCAGTTTGCTTTCCAGCACAGTTGAGAGGATGCAGGTACTTTTTTATAGTGGTTACATAATGTTTCTGAAAGTCCTTTTCTGAAATGTTTTGGGTATAGTATAATATTAGCTTAGAGTAAAATTGTCATTTGGCCAGAAGGAGCAGCCCTCTAACTTCAGGTTGAATTCTCTTGCTAGCTAAACTAAATTGATCTGATTTAATTCACTGGGGGGTGCATCCACACATCGCCATATGTGGCGACATTGCTATGGTGCCATGTTTTAATGCTTCTTACTGGAAGTACTAAAACATGGTGCGTGGTTAGTTTTTGCCACTGTGGTGACTTAGCTGGCAATCGCATGTAGACCTAATTGATCGCTAAGTCTCTATAGCATGCTGTATGGCAACGTACTGTGTTGCTATGGCACTGCAGGGTGACGTGTAGACACACCCTCAAAGTACATTCAGTTTTTAAAGGCTTTAATGTTTTAGTTTTCTTGAAGAAAACTTAAACATAGATTTTACTTCACTTTTTTTCTTAAAATCCTGCCAGATCTTCATGGGAGAAGATAGTATGATATACCCAACTTCTTAATTAGTTTTGCATCTAACAAGAACTAAAAACTAACAAGGTTAATTCTTGATGTTTTAATATTCTTTTGAACAGTGTGTAGCTGCATTTGCTGTGTCTGCGGTTGCTTCACAATGGGAACGGACAGGGAAACCATTCAACCCACTACTTGGAGAAACATATGAATTAGTCAGGTAAAGACTAGAAATGTTATTAAAGAAAATAATGCATAACGATGGGTGGTTAAGTAAATCTATCATGTGCTTGAAAAGTGCTTTGTCTTTTAAATTGGGCAGAACTTTGCCACCATGTGCTAAAAGTTGTCCCCTTTTCAGCTGTTAACTCTTTTTTGGGGAGTGTACAGGTTACCTTAAACTGTTCTGGGTTGAAAATCTGTCCCTTCTCCCCCCCCCACCCCCCCCCATGCTTCTTTCCTTTCAGAGCAGTTTTATTGATCTAAGTTATCAGTGTTGCAATTTAGATGCTATATCTGTACAAAGATTTATTAGATAAACATACTAATACTGCAGCTAACTTGCAAGCGAACTTATCTTAAATTATTACATAGGCTCTCATACACTAACACTTTAAAAAAAACAAAACAAACCCCAACTAAAAAGTAAATTCAGTTGGCAGAATAACCATTTCAGGCTTGACAACTTTAAGACCCCATATAAGCAGGTAGGCCAGTCTGTAGGACCCATATCTATGTGTATGTTGTAGACTTTACAAATGTTTAAGAAATGACCAAGGGTATAGGTTGTAGCCACGTTGGTCTCTTAAGGACATAGGCAGACAAAATTCTTTGGGTAAATCTGATATCTTTTTATTAAACCAATGCAATGAGTTGGAAAAATTCTTCTCTGCAAGCCTTTTGGTATAAATACCCTTTCTCAGGCTGAGGAAGCATCCACAGTTTGTGCGCTCTTCTTGGATGGAATCAATAGTAAAGAAGCCAGAGGCTGGTATGCATGCAAGAAAGGCAGTCGGTGAAGATGTAAATTGAGGAGTCAGTGGGTGAGACAGGCTGGGTGGGGAGGGAGAATGAATGTAGCTGGTCAATAGTGGAGAGAGGTACCTGGGGAGTCAGATGTCAGGCAAGCTTATAATGCGTCATAAATCCAATGTCTGTATTTAATCCATAACTTTTTTTTTGTATCCAGGAGGCTGATAAAGTGAAGTCCATAGGCTCATCTGTGAAAGGTGTTCTGTAAATTCCCTCTGAGGATTAGAACTCAGAGATTGGGGAGAGTAGGTTTTGTGAGAAATGTGCCCCCACGGGTATCCTTGTCTGATAGATTTCCAGTGTGCGCTCATTCTGGTACGCAGTTGTTGTTTGGTTTCTCGTACATATTTTCCATCAAGGCATTTAGTGCATTGTTACATTTCTGGAGGTGCAGCTGTAGGATCCAGGAATGCTGATGGTTCTCTTGTGGGGTATAATAATTATGGGGGTAGTGGAGATGTGTTAGCAGGTTTTACGTTTCGTGTCATAGTATGGTCTGAGAGAAATGACCATGTCTCCTATTTACAAGAACTGTTTTGGTTAAAACTTGATTAGGTTTTCTTGTGTTGCACAAGGATTTTAACTTAGATGGTTGCCTTGGATAAAGCCATATGGAGTTACTGTAACCTTTTTTAAACGTGTATTATGTCAGAATAGGTAAAGAAAGTTCTTTTGAGAGAGTATGAGTTGCATCTGAAATGCAAGCTTTGTAAACTCTAAATAAAAAATCAAATAAACAAAACCCCCAATGATTCTAAAAATTTTTTTTTTTTTTTAGAGATGATCTTGGATTTAGACTTCTCTCAGAACAAGTTAGTCATCACCCACCGGTCAGTGCTTTCTGTGCTGAAGGACTGAATAATGATTTTGTGTTTCATGGCTCAATTTATCCTAAACTCAAGTTCTGGGGCAAGAGCGTGGAAGCAGAACCTAAAGGGATTATGACTCTGGAATTACTTGAGTAAGTGGTCAATATTTATATTGACACTATACATAATAAAGGATAAAATAACTCTCCAGTGCTGTAATTACAATTGAATATGTACATTTCTATGTTTTATAGGTAAAGCAACTGTTCTGTCTTCACGCTATTTTTCAGAGGTGTTCAGAATGGTAGGGTTAACTGGCATCCATAGTGTTTATATTCCCTTAAAATGATCAGGGCCATGATCCTTCAATGCCTTTTGTTCCCATCTGTAGTCCCATTGTTTGCCCAACATGACAGTGCCGGCAATGGTGGCATTTGAAGCTGCTGTGCCCCACTAGAAGTGACAGTAAATTTGGTCGTCTTGGTGTGCTGCTAGGGACAATAAATGCTGAATTTCCGCAAATGAATATTGGCAGCCTGGCTTGTTACTTGCTGTAGTGTCATTATTAAAGTGTTTTTAAAGGTGTAATGGTTGCAATGACTCTTTCTTTTTTCAGACACAATGAAGCCTACACGTGGACAAATCCTACTTGCTGTGTGCATAATATTATCGTGGGTAAACTTTGGATTGAACAATATGGAACTGTAGAAATAACTAATCACAAGTAAGCTGGGAGTATGACTTGCTAACTTGAATGTGGTTTTTAAAAAAGTCAGTAATTTTGCAAGTAACAAACGTCTTTTGATTTCTACTTCAGAACTGGTGAGAAATGTATATTAAACTTCAAGCCATGTGGCCTTTTTGGGAAGGAGTTGCACAAAGTTGAAGGCTATATTCAAGACAAAAGGTAAAAATAGTGTCACGATTAGACCCTACCATTTAACGCTACTTAAATTTACCTCATGAACAGTTGGAGTGAATAATGCTTAAGCATGCTGAATCCAGGATAAGTAGGGTGTCTGAACTTTTGTGCAGCAGTCATAATATTCAATAGATTTTAGGGACTGGTCCTTTTTAAAAAGCTTTCATTTTTCAGAAACTCTTGTCATACTTTTAGAATCTGAAAATCCTGAAATGAGCTGTTTTAAAACTCCTCCCTAAACTTTTACTTTCTTGACAGCAAGAAGAAACTTTGTGCACTCTATGGGAAGTGGACTGAATGCTTGTATGGTGTTGACCCAGCTACATTTGAAGCTTACAAAAAAAATGACAAGAAAAATACAGACGAGAAGAAAAACAGTAAACAGGTATTTAAATGTTAGGCATCCTATTGTGCCACTGACACACCATCTCTAAGAGGTGGTTCTTAGTACTGTCTTAGATGTCTCCCTTCTATAAAGTTGCAACTTGCTGCTTTCAATTCAAAGAGCAATTGAATGTGTAAATGCAGTGAGCGTTAGAATTCTAGCTATCCAAATATTTTTGGAAGAGTTGATCTTCGTGCTTTGGATTTTGCCAGTGCCTAGTTAGGGGGAAGATTCACAGCCCAAGGCCAAAATATTCCACATCTGCCTTGTCTGGGGTGCGTTCCCCTTCCTGAGTCATTGGGTTTGCCTACTGTTGGAAATGGGATGCTGCATTGCTGGATTGTGAGCTTGTTCCATGTGGCACATCTGTTCTGCTTCGAGGTCTGCAAAGCCTCAGGTTGCAATAGGGGAAAAAGATTCCAGAACTTGATGAAATGCTCCATTTCTTTACTTGGCCTTTTTAACTTTTCTTCTGTGGTTTATTTTGTTTTTTTGTTCTTGTTTTGGGTTTTTTAATCCTATCACCACTGATTCAGGAAAGCGTATTTGCTTTTTGTAACTGGCTGTTATCTTACTAATTAAGGCAGTGACGAAGAAGGTCTTGGTGAAATCCGACATTGCTACTACTGAATAGAGAAAATAACATTTTAAAATTCTTGAAAACCTTAAAGGTGATCTTCCCCTTAACATGACTGAAGACTTTGTTGCTTAGTCTTAATTGCCATTGGTCTTTAGAGCATCTAGAAACATTTGTCCTTGTGCAGACTCACATTATTGCTGCATGATAACACTAGTGTTTGTCGTCAGGTGATCTCAAAACCACAGGGGACTACCACCCTTTGAAGCTGCACCTGGTGAGCCTTGGGGAAGAATAGAAAAGAAAAACATACTCTGCACACTTGTTATCATCCAGCTACCAGTTTGTTTCCCCTGACAATATTAAATATTACTCCTACTCCCCACTTCAGAATGAAACACTTCATTGACAAAGCTCAAGTTTTAGGTCAATTTTTGGCTTTTTTGCATAGATTTCCAGTAAAAGGCAAAAGTGTGGATTTTAATTAACTATGCATTTTTAAAAGAATGTTATACACTGTTGAATTGAACGTACTACTGTGTAGGATCTTTTGCTCAAAAGGCAGAATTGAGAATATGGTCCTCCATTACTGTCAAGGTGATTCTTTAACAGTTTGCTATTGGGTGTTACATCTGTCTGGTCTTGAAGCTTCCTAGTACATTTTTAAATGCAAAATCTGAGGGACTCAAATTAGAACTGGTCAGAAAATAATAAAAACTAAACTGAAAGAATCTTGGCAAAAAGGCTATTTTCTGCCAGTCTTATAAAGAAATACAGAAATATGATGGGAATGGATGCCTGGAAGCAGGCAAGTGTTCTACAAAACAGAATAATTGCTAGCTATTGGGATGTCTCCTACAGATCTGGACCCAAGTGCTTTGAGAAGTACTTATGGACAGGAAAGCTTTATATGCTTCAAAGATGCTCTCATTGATTTCAGTTGAAGTTTAAGTGCCTAAGTACTACTTGGATGTTCTGGTTCATATGAGCTGCATAGGATTTCCATTACCTTCAGCAATTCCATTCTCTCCCACTTCTCGCTGTCAAGAGCAGCTGGCACGGTATCAGTGTCCAGGAGCTGATGTTGCCTTAAGCTCATTTCTGAACATCTTGGTTAGTTGCGTATTACATTCAAATGTACTTAAAGCAGTTGCGTTAAAGGAGGCCTAGTTCTTAACCTTTTAAGACTTAAGGCACCCCTTGGAAAATGCTGGTTCTTTTTCATTCTTTTTGACTAGAGAAAAAGAATAGAACAATTAGTCTGTTACAAAGAACTCTGACTAGAACAGGTCAAGTTTATTTTTTTAACACTATGGATTCCTGTTTGACCTATCTGGGTTTATCTTGTGAATTTACATTTGCTCATCTAACAGTGCTAATATTGCATGGCACCCTGCAGCACCCTTGAAAGGGGCTTAAGGTACCCCAGGATGCTGTGGCACCCTGCTTGAGAATTTTGGCTAGAGGAGATCTTAGAGCTGATGTTTCCAGAATTTCATAGGCTTCTGCCATTTCATTGCATGCTGCCACCTAAGCAGGCTCTCCTCCCTCTTTTTAGGGGTATGGAATCTCCTGTGCTGTTTTGACAGCTCTTCTGTCTCTTGCAGTAGATTGTTCTAGACTTCCCCATAAGCTAAAATTGTGGAAAACCTTGATTTCCTTCAGAAAATTATTTGGAGACATGCCTAAGGTCACAATATTTGAAAAGCTGGATATGCTACTAACACAATGACGAAGTTGGAGAGTTGGCAGACTCTCTCTCCCTCCCTCCCCACACATGTGCACTCTGAATTCTGTGGACCACATCTAGTTACCTTCATCTAACAGAGTTGCAGACTTAATTGGTTGAGGGATCTAACTGACTTTGATCAAGATTTTATACTGGGATCTCATCTTTAGAACTGTACATTTTGCATTTCCACTGGGAAAATAGACTTCACACTTTTTTTTGCAGCCTGAGTAGTACTGCATTTTTCTAGTGAAGGTGTTAGCTCAATCTGGAACATTACATAAACTAGAGCCATATTCCAGATTACTGAAGTTATAACTGTAATTAATGTTTGTGTGCATATTTTAGAAACCTAGCCTCGCAACACATGCATATGTGCACACTAATACATGATCCCATGCAGAAAAACTGCATCATGTTTTAAAAAAAAAGGTGCTGCTTTTGGACCAACTTGCTTTGCAAGGTTGCCATCTTTTGATCCTGTAGCATTTTACTTTGATTTCTGTTGTTCAATTTTTTTAACAGGCACTACCTCCTTTAGAAATCAGGGTTCTAGTATAGTCTGGGAGTATTTGACTAAGTGCTACTGGCAGCTTGATAACAGCTTAGGATAGAAATCTACTTTTGCGTCATAACCTGGTTACTTCAGTTAGCTTTTGGTGTTGACAGCATCATACCAGAAAGTTCCATAGATGATCAGATATTTGAATACATTTTGGCTTGCTAGTGTGGAAGGTGAAAACTGGGGTCAAAATGATGCCTTGCCCTAGGTGTTTTACTTGTGTTGAAACCCTGATTACATCAGTTGGTTTTATCCATACTCCTGGCTCAGTAGTGTTATAACAAAGTTAATTTTACAATAGGCTTTAAGCTTTGTTACACAGCTGGAAACTTTATAGGTGAAATCAGTGTGTGCTCACGTCAGTCTCACTGGAAGTCAGTCAGATACCTCCAAAGATCCCTTAAAGCCTTTTCCTGCATCACCATTCAGAACTATTTTAGATTAAAATGTCAGAACACAAAGTTACACCCACTGGTCCCTGAACAGGACAAGATGCACGTCAGACTGGCAGCAATTTAGACAGTGGCTAAATCATGTCAACAGGTGGTAGTGGTTTGGTTTTTTTACTTCACCGGGCATATTAGCACAACTTTTGGGAATATTGAAACTAAACCTAGTTTCAAACATTTGTTGTTGAGCCAGAGTGGTGTGTGTCTACATGCATGTCTGACGGTGCAGTAACCACTGGTGCCACACAGGAGTTTCTAACCCTACTGCACAGTAGCAACAAACTAGTAGTTTCCGACCCCCCCTGTGCAGTAGCAGTGGTGTCACGACACCATGGCTCATCCCCCTAGTGACATAGCATTTCAAGCGGATGCACTCACTGTGTTTTAATCAATTGAAAAAGGCCCATCTCCCTCGTTACCATTCAAACTTACTCAAGCTGTAGACTGTAACTTTAGTAGCTTTCCCAGAGAGGTATTAAGTGCTGCACCTCAAGCAGTGTACACCAATCCTGGGGCTGCATCTTAGATTATGCATCCTTCTCTTAGAAGAACATTCACTTAATTCTCCTAGCACTGAATTGTCAACATGGTAAGGCCAGAAGAGCTTAAGAGTACCTGTGCTGAATGGCACTAATCCAGTTTGGAGCTTGGGATGCTGATACATGAAACACAGAAGCTGGCTAGAGCATGCTAATTAGCATGCTCCAGCAGACTTGGTTAATTGAGTCTGAAGTAGCCACCCCGCATATGTGCAGGCACCTATAATGATTGATTAGACTCCTCTTTTATGTGAGGGTAAAACATGCTTTGAATGTGCAGGCACCAACCTTCCTGAATCTGTATGTCTGGTGCAGTATGCATGTAGCTTTTCTCCCTACTCTCCTCTTCAGTGTTCTTCGCAAGGATCTCTGAGTGCGCAATCTTGTTTTGTTGCTTTGGCTTAAGTATTGAGGAATGAATGTGTTTGGGGTCTGCATGCTTCTTGACTCCCTCTCTCTCTCTCTCTCTCTCTCTCTCTCTCTCTCTCTGGGTTCATGTCTTACGTCTTTTTTTAATGTAGTTTCTGTATAGGGGTGTTTTACAATCTAAGGTTGTTTAGTACTACATGAATAAAATATCTTTTCTTTGTGCTGCTTCCAGATGGGTAATTCAGATGAACCAGATGAGATACCTCTGCCAGATTCTGAAAGTGTGCACGTTATTCCTGGAAGTATTTTATTGTGGAGGATAGCACCACGACCTCCAAATTCAGCACAGGTTAGCCAGACTGCTGCTTTTTAAAAGTGCATGTTAAACTGTTTGATGTAGAGTGTACACTTTAGTCTCCGATTTGCCTCTTGTTCAAACTACAGCTGTGAACTTCTGTAAAATCTGCTTTTACTGTTATGAATGTGAACTTCCCTGACAGTTAACTGTCATGTGGGACATGACATGTAAATAAGCCAAAGCAGCATGTATGGCTCCCTTCTTAGCATAGCATAACTTTTTACAGAATCTTATTCTACTAATTAGTGAAAACTAGGATTTGTTGCAGCTAGTTGTAGTACTCTACCCTCTCTTGCTGGTAAGCATGGCTATTTATTTTGCAGGCTGATTTTTCATAGCACAGGGCAGCCAGCTGCAAAGCATCTTGTAAAGAGCATTCATAGAGGGACAAGCTCCACAAGCATTGCAGGAGTACACGGATTGAAAAAGAAGCCTGCATGATGTGTCTGAAAAGCCACATAGCTGGAGAGAGAGTTGACAGGATAGAGATTTGGAACAGAAAAATAGTAGCTCAGAGTTGCTAATGGAGGTTTAGAGGGGGAAGTCTGGGTTGCTCTAGGGGCAGAGGTAAAGGTTTCTGCAGGGCAAAGGGAAAGAAGAACCCACCTGAATATAGTCAGGTCTTGCTCTAATTAGATATGTGCATGAAGGATGCATGGCACAGGTTTGCCTTGCTGGCATCTTCACATTCTTGCTATACTACAATTAGCTGTGTTCTGGTCACTCAAGAGTGTATTACTCCATATGTTTAATGCCCTTTGGTTATAGAGTACATAAGTAGCCAAACAGCTTTTGTAAAGCTGTTCTGTATTTCTGTGCCTCTCATTTCAGATGTACAATTTCACTAGCTTTGCTATGGCTTTGAATGAATTGGACAAAGAAATGGAAAGTGTTATTCCTAAAACTGACTGCAGGTTACGACCAGATATAAAAGCCATGGAGAATGGTGAAATAGGTAACTATTAAAAATAATTTGGAACTGAATGACTGGGAGGAACTCAGATGAACTGAAAGATTCCAACTGCATGTGGCAAAATTTCCGTTTCGAGCAATAACCAGCTCTCGATGCTGCTTTTTGGCTTTGGAACACACCTTTTGAAGAATGTGCTTCTAAAGAGAATATGCTTTAAATGTGTAAAGCTTTTTATATAAGGCATGTTTCTTATACTTGCTTTATAAGCATGCTGTATTCACTTATCTTCTACTTTTGAGAGAAGGACCTGAAGTCAGTGGAAGGAACATATACTGCTTAAACTTGTTGGATTTTTAAGTCTTAAATGTGTCAAACTTGTCTTTAGACTATAAAGCCTTCCTGTATTTCTCTTGTGAGTTGGTGAGGTAGAATGTTTTTTTGAATTGCTAACTTCCACTAATGCAGTCAAACCTGCTGAAGTCAAACTCCTTCGCCAAAAGAAATGAGTGGCTGTTATAAAATTATTTCCAGCAGGAGGTTGCAGTTCTGAGGCAGGGGGGTGCCATTGGAGTTAGTTTGGAGAAAGTAAGTTTCCTTTGCAGCATGTTTGGTGCTACATCCTTTAAGATGTGCTGCTTCTGGTGTGCAGGATTTAAGGAGAAGGAACGAGTAGACTTTCCTATGTCTGATACCTGATTATTTTTTTTTATCTAGCTTTTTTAAGAGCATTATTACACTTGTGGTTAGAATTCACACTTGGAGACTTGTAAGGCCTGGGTTTTGTCCCCCTACTGTCAGGCTTCCTGATGATTTTCAGGCAAGTTACTTCACTTCTGTCTCCCCTTCCTCATCTACAGATGAAGTAATTATTTCATTCTATAGATCTCAAGACATTTTAAACTCATAGAATCCTAGGAAAGTAGGGATGGAAGGGACCTCCAGGGATAATCTAGTTCAATGCCCTGCTTGAGCTGGGATCATCCCTATCTAAACTCCACAAGAGAAGGCTGAGGGGGGATCTAGTGGCCTGTTACAAACTAGTCAGAGGGGGCCAGCAGGCACTGGGGGAGTGCATGTTCCCCCGAGCGCTACCAGGAGTGACTAGAAATAACGGTCACAAGCTGGTGGAAGGTAAATTCAGATTAGACACTACTTCACTGTCAGGGCAGCTAGGATCTGGAACCAACTTCCAAGGGAAATGGTACTGGCTCCTACCCTGGGGGTCTTTCAGAAGAGGCTAGATGACCACCTCTTTCCTGCTATGGCAGGGGGTCGGACTTGATGATCTGCTCAGGTTCCTTCCGACCCTACTAACTATGAACTATCGCATCCAAGTCCCCCTTGTTTCACAACTACAAGCTGCTTTATAGGAAATGAGAAATTCTAGGTATTACAATGCCAGGTGCTTGGGTGGCCTTTTCAGTTATCAGTAATATGATCTTAGACTTAAGTGAGCAGAAGCTGAGTTGATTTCCCCACCCTCCTCAAACCAGTATATTTTGCCCTGTATATCATATTGTTTATACAATCAGTGAGACTGGCACCATAGCTCATTGCATCCCTACTGATCCAAAGCATCTACTACATAGTACTGCATTATTTTCTTACTATAGTAACACATTCGGTAACATCCATCTTTGAGCTGTGTCATACAGTTACAATTATATCTGTGTGTGTTATTACAATTATACTCCTGTGGGTGGATGGCTGCAATAACACACTGGGTAACAGACTTGCAGGAGACTGGATCAGGAGAACCTCTTTTGGGAACAACTTTTAAACTGCCCATTAAATGCTTTCTGAAGGTTTTGCCAGTCTCCTTTTGGAAGACAAGTGCATGTGATCTCACCAAAGTTCACTCAGTGTCTAGTGAACTGGCAGAAGGCATGCATCATGGACTGGAGTGCCCCTTCTGTTAAGCGTTTCAGTGATTTTTGTTCAGTGCGCTTATGAGGCTGCATCGCCATGGTATCCTAATACCTGTCCAACAAGAATGACTGTATCCTAGCACCTTCTCTACCAGGTTAAGAATACTATTTTCCTCATCTTTTATAGAAGAGGAACAGGCACACAATAGAGGCTTGTGCAGGCTTGTGTGTCATGCAGCTGGAGGCACAGCTGGAAACCTGCATCCAGACTTCCTTAATCCAGCCTGCTGTCTTATCCATTTGCCTTTCTGGAGGATGTCTCAGATGGATCAATTAACACAAACAGAATTCTTGGGGATCTTAGGCCATGGCACAGCAAACTACTGAAGATCCAAATCGGACTGGTTGATCCTGTTGCTACAACTCTACTGTTTTAGATTTGTTCTTTAAATGGGTTTATTCTGTCACGTGCTACCATTACACACAGCAGCTGAGCCATCAGTATAGCTGTAAAACTTGGAAAAATCTCCATCTAATAGTACACTTTTTTTTTTTAATTGGCATAATAGAAAATTTGAGTTGGAAGGAACCTCAGGAGGTCATTTAGACCTGTTTCTCAACCTTTTCCACCCCAAGGCACACTTACATTAATAAATTTTCTGTGGGAGACCTGTTAAGGCATTCCCTGTCCTCCATACCTATTGTAGTTCATTGCCATGGCAAAATTCTGTGGCACACCTGTTCATTTTTGACAGCACACTTCTGTGCTGCGGCACGCTGGTTGGGAAACTGTCTAGACCAACACTTTGCTCAAAGCAGGACGAGCCCCAACTATTCATTCTAGCCCAGGCTCTGTCTAGCCAGCTCTTAAAAACCTCCAAGGATAGAGATCTCACAGCTTCTCTGGGTAGCCTGCTTCAGTGCTTTACATTCTTCTCAGAGTTTTTCCTAAAATCCAACCTAAATTTCCCTTACTGCAACTTGAGACCATTGCTCCTTGTTCAGTCATCTGCCACCACTGAGAACAGTCTAGCTCCATCCTCTTTGAAACTACCCTTCAGGTACTTGAAGGCTGCTCTTAAATCTCCCTTCTAGTCTTCTCTTCTCCAGACTAAGCCCTATTCCCTCAGCCTCTTCTTGTATGTCATGTGCCCAAACCCCACAACCTTGTTGGTTGCCCTCTGCTGGGCTTTCCAACTTGTCCACATCTTTTCTGTAGCGGGGGGCCCAAAACTGTACTCCAGATGTGGCCTCACCAGTGCAGAATAGAGGGGAGTAATCACTTCCTTCAATCTCCTGGCACCGTTCCTGTTGATGCAGCCCAGGGTACCATTAGTTTTCTTTGCTACAAGGGAACGCTTCTGGCTCATTCAGCTTATTGTCCACGGGATCGCCAGGTTGTCCTCTGCAGACCTGCTGCTTATTCAATTGGGTAAATGGGATTATTCCATCCTAAGTGCAGGACCTGGCACTTGTATTTTATTGAACTTCATGAGATCTGTTTTGGGCCAGTCCTCTAATTTTGTCAAGGCCTTGTTGAATCCCAGCCCTTCTTCCAGTGTATCTACTTCCCCCTGAAGTTGGAGTCATCTGTAAACTTGTTTGATTTTAATTCTGTTGCTTTTTCAGATTTAGCCAGTGAAGAAAAGAAACGGCTAGAAGAGAAACAAAGGGCTGCTCGCAAAAACCGTTCCAAGACTGAGGAAGACTGGAAAACAAGGTTAGTACACAAGGCAAAGTGTTTGAACATTCAGGGTAGCTGTCAGGCTCCATTGACTGTCTGTTTTCAGTTGCCTGCAGTTAGAGCTTCAGCTTTACTGCTGCCACACTTTGAAAGCATGGTCAAAATGTTGGTAGTGTTTGCAAAGGAATGCACAAGGCCAAGCTAGGGTCAGTCGTACTTCCAGCCTTCCATCACTCAGTTCTCTTCTAATTAGAGCTGTTTACAGTTGACACTTGCTCAAGGCAATACGTGTTCCCTTTCTGATATTTTACCCTGACCAAAATGTATGTGTGGTGTGCACGGCGGCTATGGTTTGGGTTTTAGTTCCCTAGGTCTGCAGCAGATGGAAACCTGAGGCAGCAGCCTGCCTAGCTCCAGGGAGAAGAGAATACCTAATAAGTTGCTCTCCTTCAGCTAACCATTGAATTGTGTAGTTTCTTATCGAACTGCCAACATCCATTTGCTTTTATTCCTTTTCGCGCACACCTGTGCCAGAGGCCAAAAACTGATCAAATGATTGCTTCTTGTCCAAGGACAACATTAGAAAGCACTTAAGACTGTGCGCAACTGTGAAACATTACTTTCATATGTAGAGGCGATTGGCCATGTTAGTTTGATGTCAGGGAGAACATAGTGCAGGGAGGTACCTGACAGAATTAACTGATTCAAAGAAGCAAGAGTTTTATAGGCACTTGTTGCAATAGGAGTTTGTCTCTCTGAACATTATTTTTTAAGGTGCCACGCAGTCCTACCTTCTGCCAGCTCTTGTGTTTTTGTTTTCTGCAAATCAGCACAACAGATTAACTTAGCTAGTCCAGAAACCTGACTGCTACAGGCTTTTGGGTTTTTTTCTTGTATCCTGGCTAGTTTGGTAACTAGAAGGCCTCTTGAATTGTTTTCCTCCACTTCAAGAAAACTTTGTAGCCCGTGTTGACATTGGAACTGAAGTGCTGCGTTCAGTGTTAGTCAGTGGTTCGTGTCTCCAAGACGAAAATTTTAAGGCAGCTTTGGAAACTCATATGTGAGATGGGGCAGAGGAGCCAGTTTTAAAATGAGCTGAGATATAAACCCTTTTAAAAGGGCATATTGACAAACTGCATCCAGTGTGACATGAAAGGGTTTTTGCTTAATACACCAGCAATGATGGTCTCTTCTTACCTACTCTTCTCTGCAGAAGATTGAAGAGTTTTGGATAACTTTTAGGTTAGATACTATGCCACAACTGAGAGCCCATACTCTTCCCCTCTCACTCTCTAGTTTAAGCATTTTAAACACCCAGACAGAGAGAGAGAGAGAGAGAGAGAGAGAGAGAGAGAGAGAGAGAGAGTGTGTGTGTGTGTGTGTGTGTGTGTGTTGACTAGACTGTCTAGCTGTAACACTAAATTGCTTTATTTTTTTTCTTTCAACTGAAGTCATCCATCAGCCCTGGGTCCCAGGTTTGGACTTGTCTGACTTGTTTTTACGCTTGCTCTCCTGAAGTGCTTGGCTTTCTTTCCTAAGACTAGCACAGAGCAACATCTTTCTAATTCTTCTGAATAACATAGTGAAGTCCTTGATACCCTTTTCCCCCCTTCCCTGCTTTGACTATGGACAATCAAGGGTGTTAGGTGTCTTTTTACTTTATAAGGACTTCCTTATACAGTAGTTGCAACAGATAAATGGGGGTTCCAGATGCTTCCTGTTAGTTTTCCCCAGTATTTTAATAAAAAAATGCCTCGGGGTTGGGGGGGTGCTTTTTTGCTTGTTTGTTTTTTAATGTGGAGTAAAAGTGAAATTCTGGTGATTTATTTAGGATTAGTCATTGATCAGGTTGCTTCTATCTGGCACTTTTGACAAGGCAATTCACTTAAGATTGTGGCAAGTAGAATGGTCTGTTCCGTCCCCATTAAGACTTATGAGAAAATAGTGTACAAGATAATGCAAACTCACTAGAGGTATGTTTTTACATATTTCCAGAAAGCCAGCTATACTTATCTGAAGCATTTCATCTATAATGCAGCTGTTGCTTCTATTTGCTCACTGCAGGAAAATACACTGTAGAGCAGTAACCTTAATTTTTTTTTTCCTATGGCTGTCATTCTTCACAAAGGCTAGGATTTTCAAAAGTGATTGGCTTATTTTGGCTGCCCAGTCTGACATCTGTCAAAGGGCAGGAGCATGAGTGTTTGATATTTAAAAAAATAAGTAAATAAAGACGTCACTCCAGTTGGGCACCCAAAATTGCTAATCACACTTGAAAAATCTTGATCAGTGTCTTTGGTGTATTCCCTGTAAGTTCCTTGAAGCAAGGACCGTGTCTTGCAGAAAAACACAATGACAGCCTGTAAATGTGGGAAACCAGTAGTGGCTATCACTTACTCTCAACCAACCCCTTCAACTTTAGTGCTGGTATAGATGTACCCCATATCCTTCACATGGGGTACATGGACATGTTCTATTACTACTTTAGTAAGCTAAATCCTCCTAGTATAGCAGCTCTTGTGTGAAGAAATTGGTAGTAGTGGATCAGATGTAAGCAGCGAAAACATTCTGCCACATCCTCTAGCTTGCTTGCCTTGACTCTTTTTTTTTTTTTTGTTCAGTACAAGAACTGCATAAATGCTTGGATATTTGCTTTATCATCAGCCATGGTTTGTACAAGGCATAGTGGATGTTCTGTTTAGATCCAGGAACTTGGCATGTGATTCTGTTATACAACAGAATTCTGTTAGAATATATGATGATTTAAGGTCAATATATAAATGGAATCCTGTTATATCTAACAAGCCAAACCCAATACCAAAACACCACAATATGCTAGCTCTTCCATTCTTAAAAGGGGTAAAAACCTTATGGTCTTTACCGTTAGCAATTGCCTTTGTTTCACAGAAAAGAGGAGCAAAAATTTGACTGATGTGGCTAACCAAACCCCGGAAGGAAGCTGATGGGTGTGTTTGACACAGAAGGACCTCGCAGGAAGGGTACTTTGCCAAGTAAACAGTAATCATGGCATAAATAGAGCAGGCAAATTTTAAAAGAAAAAAAACTGTACACTTCAGCAAGCTGTATGCACTGCTGTGAAGCAGTGATGAGTAACTGAGCACAGATTTTTAGACCAATTTGAGGAGGATTAATAAGGCTGACAATGCACATTATGTCAAAAATAAGTATTTTAGTTTTGCAGGGGAGCAGAGTGATCAGTGCTCTCCTAAGTGACAGTTTTTGCTGTAATTATTACTCGTGTATATATAAGAGGTAAGAGGAGCAGAGTGGCTGACACCCAGAAGGGTTTTTAAATAGTATGTATGACTTACAAGTTAGTCTTTTGTGTATGTATGTGTACTGTACAAGACTGGAAGCATGCAGATTGCAAAATGGTGGTTTTAAAGCACTTCTAGGAACAGGCAAAGAAGCTAGCTGAGAACATGGAAATAAAATTAAATGAGACCAGCCTCATGTCCTGACAAGGTACTACAGAGTATGTGCCAGTGTATTTGTGCACTGGTATTTGCTACTTGGCAAAACAAGTCCTTCAGAAGGTTGGGGAAATCCTAAGTGCTGGTGAAGTAACAAACCTCTGCTTTCAGGAATGCAGTGCTTGTGGTGTTCATGTCTTGCAAGAAATGATTTAACTCTTTTACCTGCATGCCAAGAAAACTTGTTCAAAATTGCTTTGGAGTAGAATAGTTAAATTTCTTGTAAATAGTCTGCACCTCACTTAGCAGCACAACAGTAGCATTGTTTTCAACTGTGACAGGAGAAATCTAGCAATTCAAGATGCATCGAGTTGAATTAAAACTGGGTGCGTTGCAGCATTGAAGGAAGTCTCCATAGACTAGTTTGGAAGTTAAACGTGGAGCTACGGCAAAGCAGTTTTGAACTTCAGCAAGGTGTATTTCGATTTTGCAAAATTACTGTCCTCTTTTACAGATGGTTCCATCAAGGTCCTAACCCCTACACCGGAGCGCAGGACTGGCTGTATTCTGGCAACTACTGGGACAGAAACTACTTCAATTTACCTGATATTTACTAAAATGCAGTAAGGAACCCAGGGATAATGCAAATAAGTCTTAATCTGTTTTTAATGTTCTTTTTGTTTCTACTCATCTCCTGGAAAAACTGACAAGTTATTAAACCGAATATTAAGCCTCTCCAGCAGTGAATATGGTGGTACGGGACCTGAAAGCCCTCAAACATGCTTGCTTTGGGTTCTGAAATACTTGAGGGTGGGTCTTGAATGGGGGGGAAAAATGATTCAATTGTTGTCATAGTTTAGTGCTATCATATTTGCTGAATACACCTATATTAGGTCTTGGTGTATAGGAAATAGAACATCATCAGATGTTCTGTGAATCCTTTCTTTTAACCATTACATTGGCACAACTGAAACCTTTTGAGATGACATGGACAGACATGACATTATTGCAACATGAATGTTTAGGAGCACCTGTATGAATTGCAGTAAGCTGTGCTTAAAGCTAGAGAAGAGCACTTTTTTTTTCTTTTTGTAAAGACCTCCTTAACTTTCATACAGTGGATTTCTTTATTAAGATAGCTCCCTAGAATTCTGGTCAGTGATTCTAGAAAAATGACTGTCCCCAGAATGTTGAAGAAGTCAGCTCAGCCGGTAACATTACTCCAAAGTGTTTATTCCATGTTTAGTGCAGTGCGTTTTGAATTTGCCCTCTTGTTTTGTTGCACACTTCATTTTGCTGAAGGAATTAAGAGCCATTTTGATATTTGCAAGTCTTGATTTTGAACTGCACACTAGTAACAGGTTTTTAAAAAATCTGTTTTATGCACTAGAAATTGTGGGGTGCTTGGCACCATTGCAGAATGGCAAAAACCTTTCTAAAAACAAAAAATCAGGACCCAGTAGAACATTACTACTGGAGGAAACATGCAATTGCGTGTACTATACAAACAGCTCCTTCGGGGGAGGTCTTGTGCATGTCTGTCAGTAAGGCACCTGCATGGAGACTACTGTACACAGCAGCTTTACCCCTTTACTTGGGGTGCATTATGTTGAGGAAATACATTTATATAGAACCAGGGTACAGAGCTTCCAGAGGGCTAGCTGCTCTTTGTATAATATTTTAACTGCTGTCTGGAGGTTAGTGTTAATACAAATAATTTAATTGCTACTGAATAAAGGCTTTAAAATGTTCTGAGACTTCTTTTTTTTCCTGAAAGGTAGGTGGGTGGGATTCAAATAGGTCATGTAATGCATACTGGCTTCACAGCAGAGCCCTTTCCCTTCTGTGAAATTACCCCATGTGATTGTTAGTCTAAATGATCTGAAAATGGTGCTGTTAGTAGTGATTTCATTTTTAAAAATTTCCATATCAAACTATTATGTACCTCCTTCTAACCATCTGGCCCCAAATCACACCCAACAAGGAATCTGTCCTACAGGCCAGGTCATGATCTCAGGGACATGGCTTCTCTGAATTTCTGTAGGTTTACTGGTATAGCAAGTGTTGGGAGCCAGATTCAGATACTTCATGCGCTGGCTCAGCAGTTGTAACATTTGTCAAAATGCAAGTTGCTGGCACCCATAGAAAGCTCAGCTTACAGTTCCTTAAAACCATCCATTCCAAAAGGTTCATCTAATCTAATATTTCTCAGCTTCTCTGAATTGTTTTAATATTTACTCAGTGACAATTTAATGACCTAATATTTAGTCCTTGGGGCTGTTTGATTGGTATAGCTGAAACATGATGCTGTCAAATGTCTGTGGCATTGATGCTTCCTAACTGCTCTGTTGGGGTAATAGTGGCTGGGGTTAAATGATCTTGTGAAGCCATTTTTTAATTTCCAGGGCGGAGACTCTCCCCAGTACTACCCATCATGTCTACAAGGCTTAAGTGGGGGAAAAAAATCATTGCCCCCATCCAAAGTCAAGTCCTACCAAAAAGGGTGCACTGTCTTCCAGGCAACTGGCATGCAAGGTGCTATTTCACTAACACCTCTAAATGCAAACAGTGTTGGGTGACTATTGCATGTAGCACTTGGTTCCTTTTCTCTGCTTCTGGAATTCAGTATACACACCAGGAATTGAAGACTAGCTTCTATTCTATTTGGAGTCATAAACTGAGGTGTAAACATCATTCAGCAGAAGAACTAGTTGAGAGAAAATACTGTTCAGCTCCTTTTTAGAGTACAAGTGTAATAGTTGTTTTGAAGCAGATTTTGTTTTAAGTTGTACTAGGCTAATTTTTCCTCTTACCTTGCCTATGAAATAACAACTTCATCTAGTCATCCATACATCTTGGACCAAGAATAATAAGAAAAGATTTACACTGCATTCCTAAGTTACATGTTATAGAAAATGGGTATTATACCAATTCAGTTTCTTTTTTTCTTCAAATGAGAACAACGGAAACTTGACTGACTTCTCAGGAACAACCTATGATGCAGTGTGCTGCCTAATAGCCATGACATACATTAAAAAAAACCTTGATTGCTGGTATTTAATTTTATTGGGTCCTTGTATTTAACTTAATCAGTTCTATTCTTTAAGATGCATATTCCATTCCACAGTGATATCCAAAGGGCATCTCTTACCTGTTTTGAGAGAGAGAGAGAGAGAGAGTTTACTTAAAGTGCACTGAACATAATATTCTTTCCCCTAAAGCAACAAATTTCTTATATGCTGCTAGAGCATCTGGTTAATGATAAGATGGTAAATCTTGAAATCTGGTTTTAAACTTTTGATATGGCCAATGATTAGAAGGCCCCTCCAGGTTATCAAAATGTATCTATCCTTTAATGGATGATTTGTTTGCTAG